ACCCAGAGCGGGTTCACCCCGTCCCTCCACGATGCCAGGTTTCCCAACTCTGCCCTGCCTGCTGGCCATCACCCAGCACCCCTCTGCCGCGGCTCCGCCGAATCCAGCCCCCAGCCTGTCAGGAATACATGGAAGTGGTGAGGCTATGAGGTGCCACCAACATCTGTGCTGGGCTTATTCCAGCTAAGGAGAGCTGGATTAATCGGCATCCTTCAGCTGAATTATTCCCATATAGACCTGGAGTGTTTCGGCTGAAACGGGGAACCTATCCCTACCCAGTGCTTCCACCAGAGCATCCCCAAAGAGCTGACAAGACACATACAGAGGCAAGCAGGAAAAATTAGGTATAGCCACAGGCAGCAAATCTGAGTTAGAGATCCTGGAATATCCCTGGGAACATTCCAGGCTAGGTTGGCCGGGGCTGTGAGCAACCTGCTGTGGTTAAAGGTGTCCCTGCTCCTGCAGGGGGTTGGGCTGGGTGACCTCTAGGGGTCCCTTCCAACCCAAAACATTCGATGATTCTATGAAAGCACCTTGCAGGCCATGCCAGACAGCACCCGGCGGTTTGGGGGTTTGGGCAGAGCCCTGCTGTGCGAGCTGCAGGAGGCGAGCGTGAGGGCAGAGGAAGGGGTCATGTGCTGGGCGAGACCCCCCTGGGCACGCTGCTGCCGAGCTCTCCCCAGCAGGACAGCTCTACCGAGGGGAGCCCAGCACCCCGCTGCATGGCAGCAGGATTGAGCCGCCAGCGCACAAACATCCACCCCCGGCTGCCTCAGCTCTCTTCAACCCAACACCCGAAATGGGGGCACGGAGGGGCCTGGGGAAAAAGCTGCTGGAGCTTTTGGTGCGCAGTCGGTGTGCTGGAGCGTGAGCTGGTGAGACAGCGGAGGCTGAGCGAGCGGGGTTGCCCTGGAAACAGAGCGGCTGCATGTGCACGGCTCCAGTACCCATAGTTTATATTTATGAGGCCGATGACATGTGCCATTGCAGAGTGATGTCAGGAGACGCAGGAGCTGAGAGCAGGCTGGGGCACTCTCCCTGGCCGGGGACCAACACACCCCCCCGGCACCGCATCTCACAGCCCCCTGCCCCTGGAGCTGCTGCACCGGGGGTCACAGTGGGAATTAGTGACAAGGCACAGCCCATCACACCTGACCGTCCCGCTCTGCCGTGGCTCCGGGCCAGCCGACCCAGCCGCTCTGGAGCTGGGGAGCATGGCCAGGAAAGGAGAGGGTGCTGCCAGGCCTCTCGCTCTGGTGCTGGATGCTGCTACAAGAGCAACATCATTCTAATTATAGTAATGGTGTCAGTGCTGAACAGTGGGAAAAACACATGCTTCAAAAGGTCTATAACTGTGTAATTTGCTGCTGGCAAAACTCACTACAAAAAAAAAACCCCAAACAACCCAGAATGAAGCACTCTTAAAGTAATTTGTACTCATCTGACTTGC